CACCCACCCACCCACCCACCCACCCACCCACCCACCCACGCACCCACCCACCCACCCACCCACCCACCCACCCACGCACGCACGCACGCACGCACGCACGCACGCACGCACGTACGTATGGAGAGGCGGATGATGCGCTTAGCACGCCAGGGATGTTAGGGGTGGGCGGGCTGGGTGAAGTTGAGATTAATGCCAACGGTACTTCGCTACAAACTAAATGGAGCAGAAGAAATATGGGTTCATATAGACCGTATCCTTCCACCGTACGCATCATGCACTTCCTCCTGATCTCTGTGTCATTGCAGTTCTTCTGGATGTAGGCGAAAAAGTCCTGACCATAGGCCTCACAGATGACACCGACGAGAATCGAGAAGTCGCTCCTGACATGCTCGATCTCGAAGTATTCATGCCTTTCCTTGGAGGAAGCAGGATCATCGACTCTGGGCTTCTTGTTCCTTGGGTCCTCTCTCCTCAGGACGACGGAACCCAATTTCCGAGACTTTGGAGGCAAACTCCGCTTTCTGAGCTCTGGTAAGATCATCGAGCATTTCTGGCAACCCTTCAGGGAACAGTTCGAGTATTTCTCGTAAGGAGATTCGTAACCGTTGGTATATTTGGCGGGTTTGTGAAGAAACTCAACGAGCTTTGCGAGTTCAAAGGCTTTCAAGAAGAAGTGTAAGCAATAGCCAGACAAAGGATGCATCATCGAGCTCGCCCAATCGTAATTTCCTCCAAGAAGGCGACGCGTCTCGTCTGGCAGACTGCTCCAAGCTGTAGTACACCTCATTGCCGCTGCTGTCGACGCGGTGCAGGAGCCGGTAGCTGAAAAGGTGCAGCGGCTTCGTCTTGGCCTTTCGGAGGACCTCGTTGAGCTCCTTCTCCTGCTGGGCCTTATGCGCGTCCACCCGGCCGTGAAGGTGCACCACGCCGTTGTCGATCAAGCACAGCTCATGACCCGTGGGCCATGAAGGACGCAACGTCCCATTATGGCGTGGAACGAGGAGCCATGCGTATGGCCTTGCGGTGTCTCTGCCAGGAGGCCTTTGTGGCCTCCAGCACCAGACCGTAGGTCCGGATGGACTGGTAGTTGGCATTCTCTGAGGCGTGGAAGATCTGTCCTAGCTGTTTGCATCTCTCCAAGGTGAGACATTCGCCAAGGGCCACCTTGGAGACCTCGTCAGGGCTTCTACTGTGCCCCTGAATGGCACTGATCCCAAGGTCGAAGCGCTTGAAGTTGGCCATGAGATGCCACGAGGAAGGAAAAGAACTTCCTCGGATGCCACTCGAAGGACCGAACTCTCGTGTTATCCGCAGCACCATGAAGCGCCCAAGGCTGAGCCGGTTGTCATGGCTCAATGCCCTTGAAAGAGCCTTCGAGGACTTGACAGACCAGCCATTATGATCGAGGCGCAAGCTCATCACGCCAGCGACTTCTGTGCTAATCTCAGACAGATCATCAGCAGAAAAGCGCCCCAGGCAGCAGCAAAGGAATTCGTAGTCCCCAGCCAGTCGCGGCTGCAGGATGTGAGTTCCAGGGTGGCTGCTCTCGTAAGATATGGCGTGTGACAAGCTGGCCTTCCACGATCTTTGTCACGGCCATCTCCCCATGTGGGAAGTACGCCGAGACTTCCTCATGCCCGCAGTGACATGGAACGTCAGCTCGTTTGACCTTGATGGCCGACGCCGGAGAGTCCTTCGGCCATGTCCGGTTTCCTCGTGTGGGATGAATCACCACGCCGCCATCTCCAACAGTTCGGACGGCGCGATGTGGCTCCCAGGATGAACTCTTCAAATAGTTGCTGTACTCAGCTAGGGACCCCAGAGCAGATGTCAACGCGAATGTTGCAACCCAGATTAGGAGTCCAGTACACCTGGCAGCTACAACTCGGTTCCTCTCCCTGAGGAGACCCTCCGGCAGATGAAGAGGATGATGCCGCAGCCATTGCTGGTAACAGAAGTGGAAGAGTGGGCTACTTTGGCAAAAAAGTTTGAACCAGCTGATTTGAGCAATGCACGCACAAGTTTTAAGAAGAGACCAACAACTCATCAAGCAAGTAAGGCACGTGCACTGAGTTGCTCTGACAGCTCACACAAGCAGCAGATTTTGACTCACCAACGCTCCTGCATGAATGTTGCATGTCGAACTGAAGCAAGTGTCCTTTGAACCACCCGGTTTGAACAGAGTTCAGGAGGTTCCTAGGATCAGCGCTTCTCTTCGTGATGCAGTCAGACAAACAATGCTCGTTATGCATTTGAGAAAGGTCCTGAGCACGCTTCCGTCCTCAGCACCTGAATCATGTGAATGGTTTCCTGTTGTTGTGGGGAGTGAGTGGTGGAAGCAGTGGAAACGAGATTGTTCGCATCCGTCCTCATGTGGATCTCGGCATCCAGCACACATGACATCCTTCCACAGACCACTAGCATCTGACAGGTACCAAGAAACTTCATCAGGGCGTACAACTCAGCGACTGTAGGGCTATGGGTCGTTCGTTTGATCTTGGTTGATTCGAAGAAGACTAAAGAGCCTCGAGTGTCCGTCCGATTCTTCACCCTTTCATCACCAATAGAAATAGTCATAGCTCGCTGCGATGACTTGTCGCTGTTGTTCCGGAAGGCTGCGTCAGGAGTTCCAAAAATCCTAGGAGATCCCTTATCAGGCCAAACTTGCAACTCAAATTCTTCACTGCAAATCTGTCCAAACAGCTTGTTTAACTCCTTAGAGTGACCAACGGTTGGAGCTGCGGAAGCAAAGGCCAAACGGGAAAACTGCTGGCAAGCCTGGAACTGCGTTCGCGACTGCAAGCAGTTAATGCAGTTCATGCTCCCTGATAGGGATCGATCGGAAGTGTGAAGAGCCTTGTCACAAACATCAGCATCTTTAAGTCGAGAAGGGGGACTACGTGAAAGCGAGCCGAGACGCTTAGTACTAGTAGTA